TCAGTCAAGCATACACACCTTACAGCAAAATCTCTCCAAAAAAAGAGAACATTTTGGGACTCAAGTGTTCTCCACAATACATGTTGGTAAATACATTCTAAGTGTCTGTTAGGTGAACTAAAAGCAGAGTATAAAACTAAATATTAAAAGTGGCTCAGAGGGACCAGCAGATGGTGTAATGGTTACATTGCTGGACTTCCATGTCATTGACCATGGTTCAAGTCTGAGACCTGGCAGCTTAAAACTCATGCTGTGCTTGTGTGTCCAAAATCCTGAGGAGAGAATGGAGGAGAAGGGATTGTGGTGTGACCATGCACCCTGGGGAGATGATTTCTTGCTTTCTGTCTCTCTGGGGAGTGCATGCACCCTATAACAAAAATCTCTGTAAAAAACAATGGTTCAGAAATGGGTGGTCAATGGGTGGTGTGAGTTCTGGACCTGGTGGCTTGCTTTCTCACTTTCCCCTCTCTCTTCCTGGAGAGCACACATGCTCTAAGCAAAATAAATAAATAAAATAAAATAAATAATTATTTTAAAAAAATGTGGCTCAGAGAAGGACCTGCAGGTGGCATGGTGACTCAGGCTCTGACCACTGTTTGAGTCCTGCACCTGGAAGCTTGAAAATCATGCCAGGCACATACGTGTGCTTGTTAAAAATCCTGAGAGAAGAATGGAGGAGAAAGGACTATGGCATAGACATCACCCCAGGGGCTGATTTCTCACCTTCCCTCTCTTTCTTTCTGATAAGGGCACCCAACCTGTGGCAAAAACAAACAAATAAAAAACAAAAAAAGTAGTCCAGAGGAAGGAATGGCTACTTAGTGCAGGGAATCAGAGGAGCATTATGAAAGAGGTATCTGAACTGAGCCATAAAGGATGAGGGGAATCTCAACAGGCAGGATTGGTAAGTGGGAGTTTTTCAGGTGGAGGAAGAGGCATGAATAGGGACATAAGATGAGAAAGCACAAACTTCGTTAAGGGGAGGGAAAATGTCTCTTGCCAGATCTGCACGGATATCCTCTTAGGTTCAACGAAACATTCATCAGCTGACCACAGGCCACATTAGGTGCCAGTCTACTCGAAAGTAGAACAGGAAATATAGAGTGCATGGTAGCATATGCACGGTTAGCCGGTACTATTATAAGGCTGGTCTTTCTGTTTTAGAACTGTAGTCATGGCCACAGTCTACGTAGTGGTTTATATAGCTGTTACACAGCTATTTTTGGTAGCTATATGTTTTCCCCCTTTTCTCCAAGTGATAGCTGGAGTTCAAGGGAAGGAGATTCATACTGGTCAAAGGAGTCTACTAAACTTAGAAGCTCTCTGCTCCACTGGAGCCAATAGCTCTTGTTGTAATGCCATAGGCATAGCTTTGTGTCCCCACAGGGAATGTGTTCAATGACGAACATCATTTTACTCAAGTCCAAAGTACAGTTTATCCCCAGCCCCATTCAGGTGTAATTTACTAGAGATCATTTACAGAAATATTGCCCATATAACATAGTTGACATAATACTACCCTTATTCACATATGGGAGAACAGACCTGAATGTTAATCAAATGCCAAATTCTTATTCGGAAGCTGCATACTTTACAGCCAGCTCTTAAATATTAAACTAACGAAGGAACCTGGGGTTAATTATGTGGGGTCTTGGATTCTAAACCAAAGAGTTTGGGTTTAAGTAACTTCTAGTTTTGCCCCTAAACAAAGCATATGAAAAGTATGTTTTAGTATAAAAATATGTAATTATTTTAACACTTGAATAGATTTCAGTGTTGGGGAATCTTAGTAGCACCATTTGAGAAACATTTGTGGATCCACCTTCAACAAGCCATCAGTCTTCCGAAATAGAAAGTAATGTGCTCTTTTAACCAATGGAAGTGAAGCAACTTTCCTTTCCCTTTACTCCTACCTTGAAATACCCGATATGAGTGATTAGCCTGTAATATTATAAGGCTGATCTCATTTAGTTCTGGGAAGAAAGAAATATCTTGTGCTTACAGTGGTGACTATGATTTGCTTTGTTCTATGTTAAGGCAGTATACATTCCAATATTCCAGGGAAGTGAGAGATGTAATTTTCTAAACCATATTTCCAAATAAGGAAGCCCTGAGACTTCATTCCATGGTTCTTTCAAATAATGGTTGCTTAAAGGGCAGAAGGCAGCAGGTGGAGAATTTTTTTTTTCTATATTGAATGTAATCCTTGAGTATTATGAAAAGTTGTGACAGTTTACACTCGCCCTGCTGAAGTAAGACATACTTGTTCAGTGGGCTTGCCAAGGCTATCACCAGACTTCCACATTTTAGGACCCAGTGCTTGCAGAAGAACCTGTGATTCAGTAAGTACCCTGCCTGGAACCTGCCTCCTATAGTAGGTATCTATACTTCAAGACTTTACTGCTTCTGAAGCTCTGATAGGACCTGCTTACCCAGCCTCCCCTCCAGGTCTGACTTCTTGTTTTCCTCCCTTGATGACACAGAGCTAGTCTGACAAACTGACTTGTGCCAGTGTGTGAATGGGAGAGGAAGGGTTGTGCTGCCTGCTCACAGGCAACATGCACCCTCTAGAAATGTAGCTTAAAGTCAATGCTCAAGTGTCACTCTCCCCTCATCCTACACATACCCCACACCCATGTCACTCAGCTTCTGTGATGCACACAAAATATGGCTCTATGACCATGGGGAGTCCCAGCTTACGGAGGACACACAGTTCAAACAAACCAGCTGGACTCCTACCTCTTTAAAAAAGAGAAGCAATCCTACCTCTTCTGCCTGTAGATGTTGCAGCAAAAGTTCCATACCCATTGCCAATGTGTTTAAACCAAGTGTGCTAGGTTCCCTTTGCAATGAGAACTCAGAGATACAATCTGGTTTAGGATGTTTACATGTTGGTGTTTGACAATAAAAGCACACAGGAATCCAAGAAAGTCCAAGAAAATAAATTTATTAAACTTTGAAGGGAAAAATCCACAGACATAAAGAAAGTTAAATATAAACCAGAGAACACGACTAGTCATACTAGTGAATAATGGCTTGTGTGGCCAGCAAAGTACCAAAATGACATTCTGAGACTGGTTGAGGTATTTAGCTATTTTTGGCTATAGAAATGTCAGCCCGTTGTGAAATAATAAGAGCTCCTCCAAACACACAGCTTTAAATTGAATTAGGTTCTAGACTGATGATATTTTTATATGAAATATATTTTAAACGGTTTTGGAAAAAAACCATAGCAGCAAGATAGTAGAAAATCTATTAAATATCAATTACAAAGTAACATGTTGAACTTTGAATACTCAATTCTATCTACTTGTCCTTCTTGTGAGAAGGAGGGAATTTAAAATTACCAACCAATAAGTTTGCTTCCTAAAAACAATGTGAGCTAAATGGCAAATAGTACTTGAGTTAAGCTAACTTTAAGGTTTTAAGCTTTTTTTTTTTTTAATAAAAGATACTTAATATGAGAATTCTTCAGTGAGATGAGAGTTTTCTTTTTTTCATAAGCCTTTTAGGAGCTATGCCACAGCTCCTAAGAATGATTTTAGGTTATTAAAGGATCGAAAAATAACTTATAAATTATTTAGGCCCCTTCTTTTTCTTCCACTTACTTTGAAGCCAATCCACTCACAGGGGAAATAAAAAAATGATGAACTGTCTTCTTTTACTATTTTAAATAAATCCTATAGAAGGTTTGATGAGAAAGAAAGTTTCTGCTATTGGCTTAAGTAATTTTGAGTTTTGTGTGGGCATTCAAAACTTCTCTTCTTCTATTACCTTGATGAGTATGTGTCTAACTAGAAAACTCTGAAACAAACCTAGTTCTTGAACGTTTCGTTCAATTACCTGGTTAACTTCATTTGACCTGCTTCAACTTACAAAATGCGTCTTGTACCTTATTCCCTTCTTAACTAACCATGAAATAAAACCAAGCTGTGTTAGAAGAGATACTGCTACAAAGATTATAGAGTTTATCTCTCTCAATCTGCATGCACTAAAAAACTCACTCTATGTGAAACTGCAGCACGTAGGCATCCTGGTCAAGATGAACCAGCCATAAGAAGTATGCTTCTCTGAGTATGTAGCTCTCTCCATGAACCAACATTTGGTGAAGAGGTGTTTTTGTTTTGTGTTTTGGTTCATGTTATGTTAATCTGTGCAAACATTTTAAAGTTTCCTAAATTTATAATATTTGTTTAAAAATTCAGATAACATGAGTATGTTCCAATAATGCAAGTTATTACAATAATTTTAGAATTATTTAAGGAGTTTGGGGGCAATATAAAAAGGGCCTTGTAAAAAACTAACTTGTTTATTTGTATTTCTTTAGGTGCACTGACTGAAGAACTAAACCAGCTTTCAACTGCATTTGCTACATTCCTTAGGTAGACCATCATGAACTACAGTGTGTAGTGTAATATAAAATAGCCATGCTTGAAGTCTAAATTATTAAAAATATCTTTATCAATTTTATGTCAAAATAAATGTTTTACATATCCAAACTATTTTTTTTGCCTTCTTTCCTATGGTTTTAGTTCCCAATTATTTAAAAAAGAAGCAAATTAGCCTGTGCTATGATTTGCACGCAATTTTCCTGAACTGCAAAAGCCACCTGATTTTTTGCTTTTTCAAAAAGCATGATATACATTAAAAACATAGCTATTCAATACTTAGTGTCACAAAATTAACACCCACAACAACAAGACTATCACTGTCACTACACGGTCTTTGAGACAACTTTTAAAAATATGTACAATTCACAACAGGAATATTTATCTGATTAAGCATTCTTATTTTTTCTTTTTAATATCATGTTTCAACATTTCAGGAAAAGGCAATTAGAATCGCCAAGGTACCCTCCCCCCCTGCCCTCCCCGCTGCAAAAAAAAAAAAAAAAAA